CCTATCTGTATTTGAGGGGTTATTCCTATTTCTGTGTCTTGCCAAAAATTGTATTTCTGTAGTGGAAGGAAAAAAAACTAAATTTTAAGGTACTCACTATTCTCAGAAGTTGGTGTATCACATTGGAGTAACGCTTTCAGAAGAACCTTCTGAAGTGCGACCGAAAACTTGGTATGAATATGAGAACTGATTTCCGTCAATTTTAATTTATAAGTCATGTTATATTCACAAAAGGCTTTGACGAATACACTCCTCGTCAAATCGAAAAGCGTGCTCTGATGAGGTACCTCGTTAAAATGTGCTCTTTTGGGTTATTCCGTGGATAAATGCCCGTATCCTTTACCTTACTTCCAACATACAGCCAGATATGAAGACTAACAGTTTTTCCTGACTGATTCTGAGAAGGTTGTTGCAATAAACGAAAAACTTTACTTAGTCACCTACCTTAAGCCCTTTTCGTAGTCCTTGCTTACTGTAAAGCCCAGTTCTATAATTTTTGTGCCCCACAATAAAAAAATACAACAAAACAGTCGCGAGGGATTGATTTGAGTGAGACTCTAAAACGTCAGACAAATCAACTTGTTGGGCCAGAGGTCGAACCTCACTATTGCGAATCGGTTCTTGGAACTCGCCTGTTCGCTTCTATCGAAAATCACGTCTTGTTTGACCGCACAAAAATCCCATCCTGCCTATCTGGAAGTCGAATTAACAGCGATATGCTTGGTCTTTCCACGGTGACATCTATAATATTTAATGATACACGGAAATTGTCAGTATTGTAAAATAAAACTCTGTTGGCTGGCTTTATTACTGCGATTTTGGGTGCAAAATGTCTCAGGCTTCCAATTGGCAATTTGTAAAACCTACAGCCCTCCTATGTTCTTGAAAGTAGTTGCTATTTTTATCTGGCAGAAGCTGACTCTAGCGTATTAAATAAGCGATGTTCAAGGACATGGAGACTACTTCAGTAATGTTTTCTCAAGAGATTGTATTTCCGCACACACAGAACACTGCACACAAGCACAAAGGCGTAGTCTAAAATGCTAATTTGTTCAGAAAATTGCCGGCACGTAAGTAAATACACCGTTTTTAGGTGAAAACAATTGCCTGTTTCCTTACTAATCTAATTTTAAAACATGTCCTGGGGCGACGAGACTTTTTGGACCTTACTTAAGGCCGCCTAATTAAATTTAAAATTGCTCCGTACTCCCACGGAACATTTTGACTTTGGTCCTAATCCCTCGTTTATTACGTCATCTTCCGTAATGCACTGCGCGCTGTTATGCCTTAGGACTTCCGGAATATATGTAGAGCTCATATGCACAGACGAATTAGGATTTTAAACGAATATGAACTGAGTTACCTGTCGATGTGCATGCTGCCTCTTGGAGTGCCCGAGTGCTCGTGCAAATATGTCGTACTCGGCAGGGCTACCACGTTGGAGGTGGTTTGGGCCAATCAGAAATTGCCGCTCGGCACACGGAACGACGTGAGCATCGGCTTTACACTGCAATTTTGCGGCGTGATGGGCGCTGCTGCGTTTGGAATCTGGCCCATTCCGGTAAATGATTCATTGTTTGCAAATTTTGGTCCCTGCATCGAATCCAAACTACTGACTGCACACTCCGTTGCCTGTTTCATCTTATAAGGCCGCGTTATTTTCAGTCTTTTCGGGTTTATTAAATCGGTCCTATTCATTATCTAGACTTTAGCGTAATAGGCTGGGCGGTTAACTTGGTCCAAACAGGACTTAAATCACGACTCCTGATCGGAGACCTCGAAGTTCACGTGGTTATATCGTTGGCTGTATTTATGTCCCCATCTTGATGCTGTGGATTGAAATACCACCGAGTTCACAGAGTTTTTCACAGTTGGATTTTATTATTATCAGAGAATGTCCATAAAATTGACAGCCTTCCTCGGATGTATGTTAACTGCTCTGAGTCTTAAAATTAAGAGACACGGGTATTTTCCAGATTCGAGAAGAAGGAGTGACGCCTGATATTTCGGATTCTTGCTCGAACCCATCATTAGAGACAGTCGCAAATAAGGGTGCTGAAGGCGCAAGGAGTGTAGTATTTACAGAACGCATTTTCCAAACAGCCACATATCTAAGCCAGCTAGCAAAGTTCGCATTCATTGCTGATGGTCTTACATGGCACGATGATTACTCATTAGTCCGCGTTCGAGTCGTTGCCCGTCGAAATCCCCCC